CCCACCCAGAGGTTTTTGTTGTGCAACAGAACCCTTTAAAAAATTCAAATGCATTTTGCTCACGGTGTCATTACCTTCTGTCAAAGACTTGTCATCAAACATCTATATGTCCACCACCTCTGTCCCCTCTGATTATGTCCATTTTTTAGGACTACTTCCAGCAAGGTCTACCAGTGCAGGTTGTAAATTTTAAATGTCTCTGGCTCTAGAGCAATGATGGCGAATCTTTTGGGGACAAGTGCCCAAATTGCAACCTCAAACCTACTTATTTATCACAAAGTGCCAACACTGCAATTAAACCTGAATACTGAGATTTTTAACTCATTAACATCTCTTGTCTTAAAAGAAAAACAAATAACACGTGTCATAGGTTTGCCACCTCTGCTCTTGAGGCTTTAAGGCAGGGACCAGTGGACATGGGGCTGGATGTGAGCCCTGGAGAGGAAGCCTGGAAACAGAGGCACCAGCACCATTCCAGAAATCCTACAAGGCAAGGTGAATATGGGAAGAGTTCACTAAGTTGTGTTCTATCTTTCCAGTGATCAGAAGGAAAGCATTCTCAATTATTCTCCATAAAAATGACATCTCCAAGCCTTGGAATGGGCTTAGTGCTAGTAGAGGTAAAGATAAAATGGTAACAGCAAACAAGATGACTGTTCTAGCTTTACTCAGGTTTCTATCAGTGAAATACTCAAGAACTTTTGGACTGTGCTGGCCAAGCGAGCTCTGCTGCACTGTGTAGAAAGCAGGCATATTCCCAGTTGTAGCTTGTGTGGACAGGAAGGGACTCACCTCCTCCATCACACCCCACTGATTATGTGCTGTTGATTCACACCAAGGCACCCACGAAATGATCAAGGCTGCACAGGTATTTCTACTGAGGCATACTAGAATACACAGAATAACTACCTCATGAAGTTTTTTTTTTTTTTTTAAGCAGCTATACCTTATAGAAATCAGGTCAGGCCTAATGAGAACCACTAGAGGTAGGCTTTATCTACTCCCACTAATCTGTTCAGGGTGCTTGCTTGTTTTTCTGGGAACCTGTCATCCTAAATATATTTTCTTCAAAAAGCTGAATAAGGAATCAGGAAATGGGACTAAGGAAATGGAAAATGGCATATTTTCTCTAAAGTAAAGCCATCATAACACAGATTTGAAAAGAAAAATTAATACCAAGGTAGTTCACTATACAATCTTTCAGAGAGTACCAAGCCCCGTCCCCACACTTTGAAACAGTAATCATTTCCTTAGCATCTCTAGGCCAAGCATCCTTGTCTCTCCAGGGAGGGAAAAGACTGAAATAAGAGCAGGACCACTGGGGACCACACAAGAGCAGGGCAGTCTGGGTTCACCTTTACCTCCTCTATCCCTCCAACTCCTCCACTCACAACTTCTTGGGTTTTTCTTTCATTCCCGCCTTCTTGCCTTCCTTGTAACTCTCCTGGGCTGGGAATACTCAATGGTGTCTACCCTATTTCTGGGAAGGTGAAAAATAAAACACTCAACTGCAAAAGCTGCTTGATTTTTCTCTACCCTTTCAGAGTGTTTCAAGTCAGAACATGAGTCCTAAAAGAAGAGGAAATCTTTGAAAACAGCCTCAAGTGCTTGCCATGATTACAATAAGTTTCCAATTTACAGACTTGATCTTTTCCATTTTCAGGAATGAAGAGCTATGGGACAAAGGAAAAATGTTTAAAGATTTAGGTTACAATGAATCTCATTGCTGCTTGCTATCTGGGAGTTTTACTGTTAATTTAGTAAAGAGAGGGAGATTATCGTAGATTATATAGATTTCAAAGCTGCCAGCACAGAAAGCCCCAGATGTTTGGATGATTAACTTGCCCCTCCTCACTCTACAGTTTTCTACTTAAGAGGATGTAGCTCAGTGGTAGAGCACCCTTAGGTTAGGTCCCCAGTTCCACGCCCCCCAAAAAAGTATGGTACAAGTAGTACGCTTTTAAGCATCTCCAAAATTGTTTTTTGCTTTTAAACTTAGTTTGACAGTATACTGTATGAATTGCTGAATTGTTTCTGTTCCATTCTTTTTTTTTCCACTGCCACCAAATCCCTTTTCCCCCTCTGTTCCATTGATTCAGTTACCAACATAAATAAATGCTTTATCTCAAAAGCACTAACATTCTCTTTTCTATTCCATTCAATTCAGTAAACTTTTTCCACTTCCGTGTTATGCAAATTAGTAATTACACATCAACTTATCCTCTTTACTGGGCCCTGCACCCACATTGTCACAACCAAGTGACTTTTGTTAAGAAAGAAGTGGAAAAATTCACCTTCTGCTTGGTTGTCTTTCCCAGCCTCTGGTGAGTATAGGAATGTAGGAAGTAAGAATCCTTAACAGGCTGATCTCAGCTTCCAGGACCATTGATTTCTTCCCATGTACCCTTTCCTCCTCACTGCCACCAAGGCCATGTGCTGGGCCTACATATGGCTCCACTGGGCCCCATATGGCTGCATCTCACTAAAAGGGGTGCTCAAGAACATAAAAACGCTGCTGTATACTTTTATTGCAACCCCTTCTCATTTTCCTCCATCTGTCTTCCATATGGTTTATGCGACTCTATTAGGCTCTTGCACACACAGCCCTCTGATAATGAGGGTTGCCAACTCGACCAAGGTAAAGAATTAGAATTCACCTCTATCGGTGACAAGGGGCCTCAATTGTTTTAAATATCCAATTCATTTACTATTCAAACTAGAATATACTAAGAGCTGATTTTCTTCAGTTTGCATACAAAATTTATTTTATGTTTTAAAAAAATGTTGTCAACAAAAAACAAGACTGCTTCTCTTGTTTTTCTTCAAAGGCTATGCTTAAAGTTTGGAAGAGGAACAAAGGACTTGGCTCAGGGATCCCAACTATGCATATTAATCACTCTCTAAAGGTAACTTTTTCATTTTCATGTAATTCTGCTACTGTTTTCTTTCTACAATGTCTCTGCAAAATTCTGAAGTTTCACCTGTGTCCTCCTTCCAGACACTAAGGGAATGAATAGGAATCAGGTGACACTGGTCGAACTGGCTTCCCCCCACCCTACTTAGGTTGGAAGGTTGGGGTGAGGAGAGTCAAACCACTGAGTCCTGATCCCCACTGCTCGATGTGCACATGGCTGACACACATGACCACGACCCCAGGGTTGGCATAACTGAGAAGCAGGAATGAAGGTCACTAGACAGTGTGCACATCCCTGTTCCCAACAGGAGGCCGCTCCTGGCTTTAGCAACAGATATCAGGGAGATGGTCATTCCAGGTGTTAAATAATGAGTCTGCTGGTGAGCACTTGGGCAGTTTTTCTCAGAAGTAATACAACAGGTTGGGGGTAAAGCTCAGTGGTATAGCACTTGACTAGCTTGAGCTAGGATCTGGTTTTCATCCTTAGCACCACAAAAATAAATGAAAATAAAAACCTCAAAATAAGGGAGAGGGGAAGGGATATGAACTGGTGACAGTTTTTTTTAAAAAAGAAAAAAATAAATCAAATTATTATTAAATACTTTTTATAATTATGATGTTAAGGAGCAGAGAGCATTCAGGCCTTCCAAAGCTCTACCACATTTAAGTGTCTGGTCCTTTTCCCGAGAGAAAACTTGTCTATATTCTAGCCCACACCAGCCTGGCAGTCAGTACAGGGGAAATGATGCCTGGTTCCAGAAGATCACATCTGATGAGGCAGAACATGGGAACCGTGCTCAAATGTGCAAAGTATTAATCTACAGACACACAAAAACCCAGAAGGAGCTCTTTAAGCTTATTTCTTCATGTATAAATATCTACTGAGTTCCCCAATTACATGCACAATAAAGTTATACTTGAATTTTTAAATCAAACAATAACGTCATTGTAGGATACATGGTTGAGTCACTTGGCACTTTTGCTTTTAACCCATTCACACACTTCATACATCTTTGTTTCTCTTATTGCCCTGTATAGTTTAATATAGATCCAAGCATCAGTCATGTTCAGACAAAAACTGCTGGGAGGCAAGGAAACTTGCTGCCACCTAAACTGCTATTTCACAATCCCTCCCACATGGCAAAAGCCAAGGCAGTTACTCTGCACTAGTACAACCTACAGCTGCCTTTTCCTGATGCAATCAATTTTGTGCTCAAGGCTGGGAGTGTATCACAGGTGCCAGTGTAGCAGCAAAAAGTGCATTTTAGCCAGGCAGATCAAGCTGCAAAATACAGACTACCATCAGAGGTCTCCTCATTGGAACAACTGCTCCAGGCTGGGGCAAATTACAAATTCTGGTTGAGAGGCAGTATTTGCCTCTGTGAGATTTCCCTTCCCTTGTGATAAAGGAAATTATGGCTAAGTCATTTTGTAAATGGAATAGTGCTTGCAAAAAAGTACATGGATGAAAAAAGCTTAATGGGTATTTTAGTAAATGGGTTGAATCAAAGCAAATGGGTTGAATAAAAAGGACAAGAAGACTGATCAATAAGGCTTCAGTGAATTACAGTTTCTGGTCTAGAAAGCTATGAGTATCATATTCTGCACCCCAGGGCTCGCTCTGAGCAGGCAGTTTGCAAACCACTTGGAAAAAGGCAGCAGTGGCTGCTAAGCGGAGCTGCCCAGTAACTGCTGAGTAGTTGCAGTAACTGATGACTTTTCCGGCCGGGACGCCGCCGGGAGGGTACTCTGCCCAGCTCAGCCCTTCCCGCAAACCAGGTGAAGGCCGGCTAGCCCCCGCCCCTGCACAGGGGCTGCTGAAGGTTGGTCTCTTGCCAATCGCCTTGGGTGAAATTCGGTAAAAATCACCACAGAAACAAGAACATCTGCCTTCCTGTCGTTTTCTTTGTACGGCTTACTTCCCAAGCAGCTGCTTGGGAACTGCATGTGTCCATTTACCGGATTTAAACAGAACAGCACAAGCAAAGCAGGCAGATGCTATTTCACCCCAGCCCGGTTTGGGAACAGCGGGAGCCTCGCCCGAAGGTGTTCGTGAGTCTGGAAGCAGGAGGCACCCGCGCCGTACCTGTTTCTTTGTCCTGGACTTCCTCCAGGTGCAAGTCATTCAAAAGGTGCTCCAAGATCTTCTCCGGGGTCCCGGACACCACCACGTATCTGTCAGAGAGCAGAGGGTCCACTGAGTCATCCTCGGTGGAAGACTGCGAGCGGCTGCTCCATTCATCGTCCTCATCCTCCTCGTCGATGTATTTGAAATAAGGCACATCGAAGGTGGGCAGGGGCAGCTCTCGGTCGGAGAGCACCGTGGAATCTTTCCTCTCTAGATGAGGGTCAAAGACCCTCAGCCGGGAGCTGCCCATTGTGAGCGGTTACTAACAAAGGCATCCCCTAAATGCTGGAAGACCTCGCCATCCCTGTGCTTTCACTGGGAACCGAGTCCATCTGGCTGCTCAGAGCTCTGCAGTCAGCTAGAAAGCTGGAGAGGCGGAGAGAAAGGAGAGGGAGGGAGGGCAGAGGAGGCAGAGGGAGCAGTGAGATGGAGCCGGAGAAGGGAAGGCGGCAGAGGAAGGAGAGAAGCGCGTGCGGAGGTGGCTGCCGGGGAAACTCTCACCTCCAATCGCTCTCTGCGCTCACGGCGGCGGCGGGGGCTGGGCCACAGCCCTGCACTTTCCTCAGCACCAGGATGGTGTGGTCCTGCTCTTTAACCTGCAGAGTCGTCACTTCATCATCTTGCTTTAGTTGCCGATGGGAGTGATGGATGGGAAAGGGAAAAGGAAAGAAAATTAAAAAGAGCCAACTCGAACTGCACTTTGTAGGGTTGCTTTATGGCATCTTTAAAAAAAAATAAGATTCAGAATAAATTAGGAGCATGGCCAAGAATCTCTCTAATCACGCAGTACATAAAGCATTAAGAGACATACATACTTTAAAAGAAACAGAAGGAAAAAAAGGTGGGGAGAGTTGCATTCAAAGAGTTTATTTTAAAACTACCTGAATAATTTGAATTAGAGAATATAAAGTTCGAAGTCTCAAAAAGCACAGCATACTAACTGCATGTGGAACATCTATCTCCTCTTACCTGGCTAATGTTTATTAAACACTACTAAAAGTGGAAAATCATATGAAACGTACCTTAAACATTAAAATGAATAATCGCTGTCTTACGTTTAAAGGCGGGCAAAGAAAAAAAATACTCATTCAATCACTCAGGTCAGTTTTTCCCAGATGGTCTTCGAATGTACTTGTTTTTCCAGAACACAAGCAAAAATGGATCTCTAGTTAGAATCTCATTTAGGCTGAAATTTGGATGTCATGGTTGACTGCACTGGCTTTCTTCACCTCGGTCTCTTTTTAAAAAGGAGAAGGCTGAACCATCATTCATTTCTGCACACACAGCTTCCACAGCCCAGAGCCAGGATGGCTGCTGACGTGGCTGTCACCAAGGATGCTCCCTGCTGACCCAGCAGTGTGGCCCTTACTTTGGGCAATGCACACTTCTCGAGCATTCAGTGTGAAAGTCTCCCAATGTGCATCACCCAGGAAACACAAGGCAGCCCAGAAAAAAGAACTGCAAGATGCATGTAAGAAAATCTAACTTTTATGTTTCTGATGACTTGAGCAAAAAGGTTAAAACAAGAAAAACTGATAAAAGTAGGTTTTACCTTAAAAATAATGTCACCTCTTTACAAAGAGCAATATGTCTAGGGTTTCTAGCATGTTTCCATTTCTACTACTGACAGAAAATTCCACTTATAATTAGGTACAAATACAAAGAGGAATGATACCCCTGCCCCTGTGGATAAAATGTACCATTAGCCATTGTGCTATATTCATTGCTTCTACAGACTAAGCAGGGATGTCAAGGTATTGTTTACTCTTCATAAGAATAGAATGGCACTACTCTTGCCCTAATTGCCAGACAAATCAGGGGCATGATTGTGATTTCAACTCCTGGCGTCCTGGATTCTAAGAAAATAATAGTGACCCAATCATTTTAGTCCTTTCAAATTTCCTTGAAAACAAACAATATTGGTCATTCTAAAAGCAATATAATTTTATGATCATTCTCTAATTTTAATCTTTTAGTGGCAAATAATTTAACTATGTAAAACTGATGTATTACATTTCACCAAGGTCAGATGCACAGCTTCTGTGGCAATTAATGTTGGATATTCATTGTTCAACTCCCTGAGGATGGCAGCGTGTGTCTCCCGTAACATGAATACCAATGTGTAATTGCTATCTTTCACTTCTCCAGAGCAGTTCTTTTGTTAACCATGTAACGGAAGTGAAATAAAAAGGAAGAGGGGCATATACTGACCAAAAAATAAAATTTAAAAAAAGGTATAAGGGTCTGGAATATAGAGATACACAGGAAACAGCCAAATAATTGTTATTTGAAAGGACAAAAATTTTTCCCTGGTTTCCTCTAATTGTAAGCCAATACTCATTTTATATGAGCCTGCTGTCATTCTGAAGTACATTTTACATTCCATGCACACATGATATATGGCATTATTAACTTCTGTAGGCCACGCACATACATATGGATAGAAAGGGCTTCTCTGATGTCTGTGTAACTGCTATGTATTACATGGCTGCGCACACAGCAGCTACAGTTTATGGGCAGGGAAGAGCCGGATCAGACTGATGTACTATCAGTAGCATCTTATGTCATTGTAATAGGTTCCATTTTGAAAACCTGTATCCAATAAAGAAGAGAAAAGGCAGAAAAATCAATGAATGAAGGGAGATGTACATTATGGAAAACTGCCACAAAAACATAATAACCGTACATATTATATCTGGCTTGGAAGAAGGAAAGTTAAATTAATATTTTCTGATCCTTGCACCTTTAACTAATTTTTTTTTTCCTGAAAAAGAGGAGAAGTTCTGCATATGGTGTTTTATTCATGGTTAAGAATGAAAGTATTAAGCCAAGTGCAGGGGTGCACACCTATAACCCTAGCACTCGAGGAGGCTGAGATAGGAAGTTCACAGGTTCAAGTTCCATCTGGGCTACTTAACAAGACCCTGTCTCAAAACAGAGGAAAAATGAAGGTAAAAAGGACTAGTGATGTAGCTCAGTGGCGCTAGTCTCTGGGTTCTACCTCAGTACCATTACCCACCTCCAAAAAAGGATTAAGAAGACGAAAGCTGGAAAACATATGCAATTACAATTCATGAAATACAAGCAAAGCATTGAACACTTAAGTGACATTCATTCAGCCGATAGTGAGGGCCTCCTCTGGGTTAGATATACAGCTGAACAGATAAGCAAAGACAAGTAGGACAAGTACCCTGCTCTTTTAACTAAGTTTATAGGCTCCACGAAAACTCAAGTATAGTTTGGTGAGAATGCTGAAATGTTGCCAAATTCAAGAGACAAGGCAAAAGTAGAACTCACAGGATTTGGTTGTCAAAGGTGACTCTGGTGACTGAGATGGGGAATACCATAGAATGGGAATGCGTGCACAGAGGAATGGCTATGGTGAGACTGAAGAATCTGTTCTCAGAAGTCAGTGCTTTAGCACTGGCATGATGTCCTGCTGTGTTTAGCAGGCAGTTAGCAATAAAACACTGGGACAAATGTGCACATTTCTCAAGTTTGGGCAGTAGATGGGGCAGCTAAAGAGGGGCAGAAAGAGAGGTAGGTACAAATATTAGGGATCTAAGTGAAGAAAAAATACAGGGAAATGGTGAAGAGGAGGAGTAGTATCAGGATCAGGGGAAACCACGTATTGAGACTCTGAAGGGTAGGGGAACCAGGAGAGCAGTGTGTTAAAGGGCTCTTAGGAAAGGCTCACCCAAACCTGTAGAGTGAGTAAGTGTAAGGTGGGAAGAAGTGTTAATGCACAAGTGAACCAGGAAGACAGAAACAGACAGGAAGGGCCCTTGCGCGGGGGAGGGGGGGTGTCCATTAAGCAGGAAGGGGTCAGCTCACAGAGTCTGTCTCTGGGGAAGGCAGCCAGGTAGAGGGAGAAGTGCTGAGGCAAGAAGACACATGCTTTATGACTTTCTGCTTTAAGTGTTCAGGAGCCTTAGAGGAAAACAGCGAATGATGAAGCCCACCAAGGATAAGGGACTGGCCAAGGACACAACAGGAGGCAATGGAGAGGAGGGAGGCCAGGGCCATTCGGAAAACAGCTGGGGACCATGAAAATCTAATGTTTTTGTTAAACTATTTTTGCAGAGTAGGTTACCTAAGATGATTAGGCTGGGGAAGATGATGAACTGCAGAACTGGAGGAGATAAGGCTCTCTCCCTACAAGGAGAAAGGGCACAGGATTTGTTCACAGAGACAAGACTAAGGAAGACAGCAGTGGCACCTGTGGGATACTTGTGATTTGGATTTTGTCCATGGTTCCTGACTTACAGTTCCTATAATTCTACAATTTTAAAGTGACCAGAACACCACGAATATCTTTTGTTATGGTACAGTATTTGGTCTTGTTGTGGGTTCCTGAAGCAATCCCAGAATAGCTCCAGAGCTATAAAGGTGAAAGAAAATCTTTTGTTATTTATAACAAGCCCCTTTCCACTAAACCAGCATTTATGTTAATGAGGAGACTTTGGGAAAGTCCCTAAATAATCACAGCATGGTGGGGCTGGTTGCCAGGGGAACAGAGCCCAGCCCCAACCTCCAGGGAGAGGAAAGTGGCTGAAGGTTGAGTAGGTTGCTTATGGCCTAATCAATCATGCCTACAGAATGAAGCCTCCATAAAAACCCAAACCCAAAAGGACAGGGCTCAGAGGCTTTCAGGAAGGTGAATGGGAATTTATCCACGTGTCAGGAAGGTGGTATAACCACAGGAAAGGAAAGCGCCACAGGAAAGGAAGCTTTTGTACTTGGGGCTCTTCCAGACCCAATGTATCTCTTCCTCTGGCTGTTCCTTTATATCCTTTAATGATCCTGTTAAATATGTTTCCTTGAGTTCCTTGTCCCCTGCAGAAATCAAATTGAACCGAAGGAGGGGGGCTGTGGGGACCGTGACTTATGGTCAATAGGTCAAGAAAACCTGGAGCTTGTGATTGGCATCAAAAGTTGGGGGCAAGTCTTGGAGCCCTCAATTTGGAGCCCTACTGTATCTCTAGGTGAAAAGTATCAGAGTTGAGTTGAATCGCATAACACCTGAGCTTGTGTTGCCTGAAGAAATGACTGATTGCTTGCTTGGTATGTGGGAAAAACTCCTTTACATGTGGTTACAAATGTCTTCTTCTTGGTTTCAGAGTGGCTTTTCTCACTATATTTGCAGACCATGACACCTGGGAGCCAGCCTGGCACTCACGGCTAAATGATCTCACAGAAAATTCACACTAATCAAGGTCACGATGCAGACAAAAACACAGCTACTCAGCTATGGTTTCTGAAAACAAAATGTGAACACTGTCCAAACCACAAAATACCCCAAAGCCCAAATAGAATGAGTAGCTACTGCTATTTTTTTTTTTTTCTTTTTTGGCCAATGATAGCTATAGCTTTGCCCTAGTCTGTCTTCTCTACAGAGGGATAAGACTTAGCAAGCTATTCCATCCTATGGTTACCTACATTTTTCCTGACAGTATCCAATCCAGAACAAAGCCCTGCTCCCTGCAGCCTTTCTCAAAGTGACTCAGTACAAACACAGGTCACCTAAGACTGTTTTAACAGGATTGCCCCATGGCTCTCATAGTGTGAGATCTTAAGACCTACACTGCAACCAGCAATAAACCCAGCTTGTTCATCTGCTGGTGGGCTCCTGGTGGCCTTTGTCTGGAGGGTATTTCCTGTCATTGGTGTGGACTGACTATGGAGGCAGTAGTTAAGAGAGAAGGATGAAAAGCACTTCCCTGTCAGGGTGATAAGAGTTATGCACTGTACATCCTATTGGTGATGGTCAGGAATGGGGCTCAAGAAGATGACGCAGAACCCAGGCAGTAAGGCTCCTGTGGAAAGTGAGAAAACACCCTGGAGTAATGGACAGATGACCTGGGAAAAGTGGCACCAACCTCAGGAGCTGGAATTTTGGGAAAAGAGGAGGACATGAAAGGTAAGGAGGGGACTGGGACACCATGCTCTTGCTTGCTTCTCTCCTCTGTGCTGAGCTCTGGTGTGCATACCTTCCATGGCCCCAGCTCTGCAGAAACCAGTTCCTGTCCCCACTCTCTTGAAGGGATGATGGGAGGAGCAAGAAACTCCACCAAACAGCTGGCTGGGTTCTTCACAGCTTTGCTGTGAGGACAGTATTTAGGAAAGTGAGGGAAGAGGAAGCACAGAAGTAAACAGGTGTCCTCTGTTGGAAGTAGGGGAGCACAAGTGATAAGACGGAAAGCAGTGCTCACAGACTCCCATGACCTTCTGAGCACAGCCCATCTGGAGGACGAAAACCAGACACGGCTCCTCATCAGCAGTATTCCATTCTTTGCATGAGCATGTCTGATTTGTTTTGTTTGACTGTACTACCACCCTGCCTGTGAATTCTGCACACATACCAGAACCAGAACCTTCCACTCAGGGTGACTTCCATGCTCAATGCTGGCTTTTGTATTTCTAAATCAAACTAGCAGTATTTTCGTTCATTTAGTCACATGAAAGACAGGCTTATTACACAGTCATAAAGATGCTGATTCTTTTAAAGGGAGATGTGGAGAATTGATGCCCATGGTTTATCAGATCCTAACTTAAATTATCACGAACCAAGTTTGTGCATGTAGTTATATTTTCCTATGTCACCAGCGCTACGAAGAAAAAGTGATTGTGAAGGGATTTCCCAGGCCTGTTGGAACTGTCACAATTACTGGCTTGATTTTCCATGTTCCAGGGAGATGACTCCCCTCCCAAGTGCTGCCATAAAACATTCACAGCATTAGCCAGGGCATCACATCTCTGCTAGTTTATGAGCACATACTCTTACAAGGGTCCTTAACTAGGGGTCACGGGTGGGTTTTAGGGAGTCATAACCCTCTGTAAGTATACAGGATTTTTATGCACGGCTCATTTGTTTAGGCAGAATCCAGAATTCTTAGATTTCACTGGAGTCTATGATCTCCAAAAGGTACAGAGGGAGTTCACCCCACCTAAGGAGCCTTTTTTGATAAGTCTCCTGCCACAGATGCTCTCTGTCCAGAGGGCGTATCCAAAGAACCCTGCCATGACACCCATCACCTTACTATAGGACCTCTGACCATCTGCCTTCTCTGTCTCCTCCACTAAGTGAGGACACCATGAGGGCAGGGACTAAGTTTTCTGTTTCTAACACAGGGGACAGGGCCTGGCAGATGATGCTCACTGGATAAAGGGGTACTGAATGTAGAGATGAATGAGCGAGCCAGAGAGGGGTGCATGGATTATCTCTAACGGCACAATTCTATCTCACATGGCTCTGAGGTCACTCTTTTTGTGAGGCTTCCTTCACCTCCTCCACTCAGTCACTTTCCGATTATATTGCTCATCACCTGACAGAAGTGTGCTTTGAACTTCTGCATTGTGAATATTTGCTCCACCGCTGGAATTCAACTCCCACGCAACTAACAATGAAGTTGTCAGGTAATTAACGGGACACTAGAACTCTAGGGAGGCATTCACTAAAAGATACTATCTATCAGTTTATGACACATGAATAAAAAAAGAAAGTGGCCATGGCCAGGTCGAAATACAGGTTAAACTGTAAACTAGGTAAGATGTGTCTTTTATGCCTCCTACCTTCCCCTCCTGTCCCATCCGTAGGCCCCTCAGTTTTCTCATGTGACCAAAAACATATCTGTCTGATGCAAGGAGCAGAGAGAGAATCTTTCAAATGGAAAGTCCACAGAATCACCTAATTTGATGACAACGGCATTCAATAAATACAAATAGCACAAGTTCCATTGCCGCGCTCCCTCAAGTTTGGGAATGCACTAACTGAAGGTGCTAACAGAGCAAGGCCATTTTAGCCACTGACTTCATTTGCATTCTTTCATAGCAGAACCTCAACCTAGCTCTTATGCGTTCCACAAAGTTCATAGTAAGAATCAGTTCCTCTAGGAAGCACCCCCCGCCACTCCCTCCAGAATGATCTGGTGGTGACACCACACGGATCCTTCTGATTCAGCATTCTATGCAGCACTTACTGATACATCTTTCCGTCTGTCTTCCCCAGACTACAAGCTCAATTTCCAAGTGAGCTCCATATCTTCTTCTACTTTGAATGCCCAACAATTAGCCAGATCTCAACACTTCATAGATAATGAACAAGGAGGAGGTAGTACTGCAGTGTGCAACTAGCAGACCCACCAGGAATGGCAGATAAATTTATAACAACCAACATGCAATGAGGGTTTACCATCCTGCTGGAAAAGCTAGGAGCTGAATACTCATTTTCTTATGTAATTATTACTTTGACCAAGAAAGAACACAGAACAGGAAATGGTGAGGCTGAGATTAAACCTAGACAGGTTCTACTCCAGTGCCCCTGACTAGAGCCACAGATGTGTCCCAAAGTGGCCAATGTTCCACATTACAGATTGCAGTGATGGAAAGGGCTCTGATCCACCCTCGTACTAACAGCCAAAGGTGGGCAATCTGGTGGGTCAGGCAACAGGTGCACTGAGGCTGTGGGGAGGCTCCAAACTTCTAGGATGGTCACTTTTTGTTTTATTTGGGTACTGCAGATCAAGCCCAAGGGCATCCTAATGCTGAGTTACAACCCCAGCCATTTTTGGTTTTACTTTTTAAATTTTGAGACAGGAGCTGACTAAGTTGCCAGGCTGGCCAGTAGTTTGTGATTCTCCTGCCTCAGCCTCCGTAGTAGCTGGGATTATGGGCATGCACTGCCACACCCAGCTGAAAAGTCAGCTGTTAGTTCTGAATGGCCTGTCTGGTTTGAGAAAGCCACCCAAGGGATTATCTTTTGAGAGGAGAAAGCATGAAGGCTGAGCCTGGTGCTGGGGCAGAGTTCAACCAGCTCATGTCAGGCAGAGCTCATGCCCCAGCAAAGGCACAATGAAGTGCTGACAGGTACTGAGGCAAGAACCAGGACAGGTGCACATTTACACCTGCAGAGACTGGACTTAGAGGGAGTCTGTGTGTCTGTGGTCACCTGTGCCTGTACAGTGTGGGGATCCAGACACAGCAGGTGAAGTCTGAGAGAGGTGGGGCTCCCAGTACATAAGCTGCCTTGGACCTGATGGGCTGAGGAACTGGGTGGACTTTGAATGATACACCTTAAATGGTTAGTTTTATGTTATGTAAATTTTGCATCAGGAAGAAAAAACAAAAACCAGCTGAGCAAACCTGAGCCTGTGGACCTGAGATTTGCTGACTGGGTATGAAAGATTCTGCAGCAAGTAGCAGGTCTGAGAAACAGGTTCAGTTCAGGTAGCTGGCATGTCTAAGGCAGACAGGATCGAGAACTAAGGACAGCTGGTTAATTCCACTCTCTGGGCTATCCTGCCCGGTAGGAAAGGGAGCCCTGCAATCATTCACAATGTTCCAGAAAAGTAATTTTCCATGAGTGGGTGGCAAGATAAAGGAGGCTGACTTTGGCTTAACTGAAAGAAGCACTAACAACAGAGGTGGGATGAGGCAGTGCTCAGGCAGACACAGAGCCCGTCAACAATATTACAGAACAAGTGAAGACGGTTCTGGGTTAAGAATGAGGGCTGGGTTCTGCATCCTTTCCAAAAATTCTACCAAATTCATCTGTCTTGATTCCACGTTTCTCACAGAAGCCCAAACTGTTGGCTCTCCTAAGTAGGAAGAAGGACTGTGATTCAGCAGTTGGGTATCTCCTCCCATCTTACACTATGGAAATTTAAACACAGCTTAGCAAACCAAACCTCAATGCCCGCATCTATTTTTGTACTGTAAATGTGGGTACAGCAGAATTGGAATACTTATCTGAAAAAAAATCTCTGGCCAAAACGAGACTAACCTTCACAGAATTTGCTGACAATAAGGACAAAAGAATATTGCTGGCCAGATCTAACCGATTAAAAGAAAGATGAAAGAAGCAGATGTGTGGCAAGGTGAGCCGTTAAGATTACTAGACCACAAAGGTGCTGCCTAACAAATCCATCTTTGTACAGGTTAATCTGGCAAAAGGAGAGTAATAAATTAAATAATAATTAGTTCTTTTTACATCATACATATTAAAATTTATAACTCAAATGAAAGCCTAATGGGACCAACAGAATTTATCATCCCCAAATGTATAACAAGCTAGGTAAAGTCTCTTTTTCACAGGTGTGAAAGTAACCACAAGTTTCTTATGGAACTTGACCAAATGCCCACAAAAAAGCAGTAAACATGACTAGACAGAAAACTTACGGCTGCTAAAGATAAACTGCATTAAATTTTATTGCCTGTTAGAATTATTACCATTTAAAAAGTTATTTAAGGAGCCCAATACCAGAGTAAGTCCAGGGACTTGATGCAGGGCCAGCTTCCGCTGGTGAATCTCCCTTCACACTGTACAATGAGGCAGCAGACGTGGGGATAGACTGTAACATCTTGAAATATAAAACCAATGTCTTCATCACAGTGACACTGAAATATGCTGTATTAGCTTGCTGGATCATCCTGGAAACTGGCAGAAAAAGGAAGCACACCCCATAAGGGCTTTGAAAATCTGTTTGTTTGAGTGTTTATTGGAGGAGTACTGGGGATTGAATTCAGGGCCTTTGCACTGAGGTACATCTCTCATTCTTTAAAAAAAAAATTTGAGACAGGTTCTCAGGTCACTAAGTTCCCAGACTGAATTTCAACTTCCCACATTCCTGCTTTAGCCTCCCAGGGTGCTGAGATTAGGCATTTGCTACCATTCCCAGCTGAAAATGTTTAAAAAAGAGGCTTTGTATAGAAGTATGGTCAGGGCTGAGGAAAACAAGCAAAAATGCTGAGATAATCATGGGCCAGGGAGAGGGGATGTTACCAATGCTGGGCTGGATGGGCCAAGAGGAGGTAACACGGAACACAGGGTCCTTGAGGAACTGGAGAAGAAAATGAGAGGCACCGAGAGCAGGAGCTGTAGCCATTGCTGGGATTGCAGGACGAAGCTGGACAGAGGGAGAAGCAGTATGTTGGCCTCTCTCTTCCTCCACTTTTGATCTGCGAATGCCTCCTACTGGCAGTGTATCATATATGGAGCTGAAGGACAAGAACTCCTGGGTGATGCAGTCCACAGGAGTCAGGACTCACTGCCCAGTGGCACAGAGCAGAGGTGAGCACGCAGGAGAGGATGCGAATAGAGACAAACTAGCGCCTTCTTCCGCAGTTTCCAGAGAAGCCTGTGCCAACTAACTGAGATTATACCATGGAGGCCATGGATTCCACTCAGAAATCTAACTGTGGAGAAGGGTATGTTACCATGTCTCTAATGACTTACTCTAAGAATCAAGCATGCTTTCTTGTCTTAACTGTTCTTTGTTTAACTCCTGTAACAAGAGTACTGCAATTTAGCTCCTATAGCTTGCTTCACTTCCCATGTGACCATTGCCAGTAGTCAGTCACACAGCTGTTGCCTTTATTAATCATAAAACCTCAATTTTATTGAATATTTTCTAGTTAAAAAAAAAAAGAGGCCAAATATAAAGTTCTTGGTCGATGGCCAGATACGGAAATTGCGATGGAGGAGAAAAGGCAGGGTCAGTTCCACTCTGCCATTCGCTGCCCAAGCACAGGGATTCCATTTGTTTGGCTTTCTGTTTCACCCCACCACCCCGGCAGTGAGTGTTAAGCAAATGAATGAGTGAATGAACGGGCTGATGAGTAAAGAAGCGGATGTAAATTGGAGTGGTTCAAGATCAAGGACATACAGGTCAGCAAAGGCAAGAAGGCAGTCTTTGCCCCACAGGAACTAAGTCCAGAGAGTAGGCTAGGGGAGAAGGGATAAACTCAAGATAGACATCTGCAGAACAAGAGTTCAAGTGCAGCTCTCCTATGGAGAAGAACCAAGGCTCTGGAGCCACAGTGTGAGGCAGAAGCAGAGTCTGATTTTGACTTCAGGCTCTGTGAGCCACTTCTCACACAGGAGAGGCAGGGCTCAGAGAATGGCCAAGTTCACAGTTGCAGGCAAGGCCTCAAACTGCTGAGGGGACGGTGGTTACAAGGTTTCCCTTATCCACAGCCAAATTCTGCCAGCTACCATTTAGCTGTCGCTGGGGTTGGGGTGGGGGATAAACCCCCTAAATCCAAAAACACCATCTGAAATATAAGGCTATCACACTCCTCGGAGGACTTTTAGGCAATACAAAAGATAATGTATGCAAAAGGCCTACCAACGGTCCCACCCCACCTACCTTTCAATCATCAATGACTAGATAAATTGAATTTATTTAGCAACCATCATAACTTACACCAAGATCCTACTAAAACCCACACAGGAGCATGCTTCATTTCTCTCTATTTCATGGGTAATAACCAATTCTCAATAGTATAAAGATTAAACTCAGATGATGGCATTCCTTCAAAGAAATTATGGCCTAAATCAAATTAAACCAATAACCCCCAAAGTAAGGGTAAACTTTCAAAACCTAGACTTGCCACTTATGAGCTAGCAAGAGTTTGAGTTGTACAACCTCTCTGAGCATCAGTTTTTGTGCCTGTGAAATGGAATAATACCTACCTTATGAATCTAGTCGCATGCTGGATACAGAGAGAGCCTTTAATACTAGGATGCTGAAAAACACACAAACTGTATAGTTCCAATATGCCATCCAAGTACCCTACCACCAAAGTGCTGAAAACTTGATTTGTATGAGGATCTTGCTATAGTTTTGTTCAAGTATTTGTATAAGTATATTCTCTGGATTTAAGGAAACATACACAAATGACAAACATATCATCAGCTTTTTTCAGTTGCAGCAGAAGCCACTGTATGAGCCACTGACAGAGGGCATCACAAGAATGAAGTGAGTCCACTTGCAGAGCTCATGGGACCTGGAGGGGAGGCAGCTCCAGTGCCCCATTGCTATGAGAGAATTGAGCATCATGAAATGGATCACACTGATAGCAGGACAGAGCTGTTTCTTGCTGGCTGTTTCTGTACTCCTCAATCCCCTATCTCAACTGCCAAGAAGCATACACCTCTGAGACCACAACTAGAAGGGAGGCAAGGTAACTCAGATGTCTCTGACTCTTACATTATTTAAAATAAAATGCCAAGGGTTTGTTAGTGCCTATGCAGCCTTAGTCTTTGGATGGGTTACTAATCATCTGAGAGGGAATAAGATTGTTCCTCAGTGTCTGTGTGACCAAAGCACAGACAGGAAGAACCAAGCAGCAGCAAATGGCCGCCATCAGCCACTGGTCACTGGAGGGGAGGCAGCCAGAGCTCTGTGGCTCCTCCATTCCAGACAGGATGGGGATTTCATTCTAAGAATTGTGAGTTACAACCACTCACTTGCCCTGGTTATTTTAGCAAGCCAAAGGGGATACGTGAAGGGTCAGCTGAGCTGAGAAATCATCAAAATTTTCTGAGCTCCCAACCACCTTTGTGCTATGGACCAGGATTCATCAGCACCTCGATGCCCTGGAATCAGGCACCCAGGTCTAAGGGCAACGAAGCATAGGCACTGCACTGTGCACAGCAGTGTGCGCACGTGCACACACACACACACACACACACACACGTGCATGCACGCCCACCCCCAAAGAGTGGCCTATCTGAAAGTACTTCAAAAGAACAAAAGATGACTTCAAATCAAAATGAGATCCTCCATCATTTATTAACACATGAAAGAAGAAAGAGGAAAACTGTCAATGACCAGGATCACTGGAGAAAAACTGTGCATCTGTCAGTACTTGGAATATCCAAGCTCCATCCACACAGTCTCCAAACAATGCTCTGGACAGACTCCATCATGCTGGGATTAGAAAAGGCAGGAGATTTAGTGCTGGGAACAGCATTTATTTTCTCTCTCTTTATTGGTGTATGTTGATGGCCCTAAAATACAATATGTGTTTTACTAGAAAATTTTCTAAGGACAAATTGAGGCCTAAGAGATAACACTTGCTTACCATGCATGAGGCCCTGGATTCAGTCTCCATTCTTAGGGGAAAAAAGGCAAATTAATAAGGTTACAATCTTGTTTTCCTGGAAGTTTTACAGAAGTGAAAATATACACAGAAATAATTTCTAGTTTTCAAAAATTCTCAAATCATTCCGTGTGTATGATATATGTAAAATGATTCCAAAATGAAAATAATGTCACTAGGATGGGACAAAGACTTACACTAAATTATGAGTAGGACAAAGTTCGCTATGTAGTTGCAGATATACTTGCTATCTGGGATTTGGAATAATTCATGGTAGCAGTTTTACAGAAGCCTCTATAATCTGGGTAACAAGAGGGCAGTATAAAATTTCAGAACAGCACTAAACGCTGGCCCTCAGGGCTTTGGCTTCTCCTTTTGAGCTCCTTTTATCAGATCTACAACTCAGCTGCACTGCATAATGCCTCCTGATGAAGTGAAGACCTAATCCAGAAATTGAAATTATGTGAAAAAGGCAGCCTTAAATTCTGAAGACCCAGAAATGTTCTTCAGACTTAAAAAGTTAAGAAATCAGAATTTAATGAACTTAAAAAACAGAAAACTTTAAAGTGTAGAAACTTTCTAAATCTCTTTTGTGCACATGCGTGTCACTTCAGCGGGCCGAGCAGTAAGGCAAGGGCAGCCTCCGTATTTATACAGGTTACGCAACGAGAAAATTCCTAGTCACTATAACAACTATGAATCACATGGAATGTGTTAAAAAGATAGGAGGCATCTTAAGTAAACACTAGTGTTTTTCCATGTTTTGTACATTCCTAGATGTTTTCAGAGAAGCTGTTTTAGCCTGTGTGGTAACCATTTTAGACACTTCATTTCACAGTAGGAAACAAGACTGGAAGAAAGGTAAGACATGTGTCACTCCTTAGTTACAGAAAGTTGGTGTTAAAATGTGTTAAGAGAATTTAAAATGCAATAAAATAGTGCTAAAATGATTTTAAAGTCAAGCACACAAAATCATGAAGTAATAGTGAAAAGAGAAGGCTAAAATAAAACAAAATTAATCTGGTTGCATAATCTCTCTCTCCCTGCTCTTTTGCTGAGGTGGGGGACACGTGTGGAAGGAAACGAGGAATGGACTGAAAACAGAAGTACGTAAGTGACAGTATGGATACAAAGCTTCTCTTTTCCTGAATGTCAGATTCATACAGAATGCCAAAAGGTATCAAAACGGGCACAGAGAAACCTGCCCAAGTCAGAGCCTTGCTCCAGTACTGTGACCCATTAATGTCAAAAGTTTGCCTACTTTTTGCATAAATTCTTGGATGAATTCTTTCAACTTATCGACAGTTACAGAGCAGCTGTGGGGGACCACCTTTCCCGCCTTTCTGTTTACTATGTCCAGGCTGATTCTCCATGATGGGTAACTTTCAAATTAACACCTAAAATTTCCAAGGAACTGGAATCCTGGAGCTGGAACAATTTTGGGTTTTCCAGATTTGATTTGAATGCCTGAACTTGGAAAGCATTTGCCTTCTCTACCAGGTCCATTTCCACAAATGTTGACTAGAAGCCTAGTTAGTGTCAGAACCCGGGGGTGAAAGTTCAATAAAACATGCGTTGTTCACAGAGAGAATTCCTTCTGTGCAACATGGACATGCAAGTGATATAAGTTAGCATTTTAAAAAAACAGTGGTTTGCAGCTATGCTGTGGGGAGCGCCCAGGGGAGGAACCCAGCCAGCAGCAAGAACCAGGCCACTTGCATGGTATTTCCAAGAGTCCAAGGCAGTTAAGATCTACTGCTCTGAAGTCTGTAATATTTGAGAATATCAGATCTCTGTCCTCTTTAGGACATTCTAAACTTTAAAAAATAATCCAAATATTTACCAGCTTGATTTAAAATATGGCTTTAATAACCTAATAACAGAGACAGTTCTAGCTGGATATGATAGATCAGCCATCTGTCCTGTATCAACACCATTTTACCAAGAATACATATTTAGAAGTCCTATCCACAGAAATATTTTTAGAATATAAAAGAACAGAACGATTCTTGGCATTGATGGGCATATACAATTAGAGTTTTTTAAAAAGCTGCTCAAAGTTTCTCAGGCAATTAATTGGCATCCAATACAAAATGGTGACACTTGGAGAGTTCAACATCAAAGGTATGAATGTTGTTCAGTTTGGGGAGTGGGGTCTTCAAGTTAAGAAAAGAACTAGAAGAAATCTTAGATCTCTAATACCTGAAGTTCAAAAATGATTCACTAAATCTATATTCAACATATTTCACTTGGAAGGAAAATTTTTGATAGAATTTGAATTCCTCCAGAATAAAATGGATCCCCCCCTTCTTCTCTCTCCTCCACTCCTCCATCCCATTGGGGATTGAACCCAGGGCCTTGTGCATGCTAGGCAAGCATTCTACCACTGACCTATATCCCAGCCCTGAAATGGATTTTTATATCCTCGTCACAAATAAATTAACTGAAGAAAAATTATGCCTGTAATAAGTAACAAGAAACCTTACTTTTAAATCACATAAAAAGGCCGCACATTGTAGTACATGCCTATAATCCCAGTACACAGGAGGCTGAGGCAAGAGGATTGTTCTAGGTTAGGGGCCAGCCTGGGCTACATTGTGAGTTCAAGGCCAGCCTAACTATATAGTAAAACCCTGTTTTCAAAAACAGAAACAAGACAATGAAAAATAAAATAAAATAAAGCACAGCTCTTATGTTAAAGAACTGAGTGAAAACTACAATCCCAGTAGAAATAAAAAAATAAATGACATTAAGTATCTGGCCACAAAATGGGGAAAGGTTTTCTAATTTTAAAGGCCATTTTCAAAATAAATTTTAGAAACCAAACAGTTTCACTTACGAGCATAAAAATAACAAATTAGGAAAAAAGAATTAAAAGACAGGAGAAAATCATATGTAGCAAATATAACAGAACTTTGAATCCTTTATAAAGAAGTTATCCAAATCAATGGAAAAATCCCAATTTAGAATGGACCATGCAGGTGAATAATTTATACCAAGGTGTAAATATTCAACTTCACTAGAAAAGAAGTGTCAATTTGAATAAAATAGTACCCCCCCATTAACCCAGCAAACATACCTAACTTCTCCTAATAAAAATCATAATATTCAGTGAGGGCAAAGGCACTGAAGAGTAAGCAAGTGCTTTCATGTACTGCTGCTGTAAGTAAAAACTAGCAGAAGCGTTCATGAAAAGTACCTAGGCAAAAACATAAAAGGTTCATGTGTGTAAGTAGTAATTATGCTACTAGGAATTTAACCTTGGGAATATAAACTTAGAGAATTTTGTAAAGCTGGTCATGGCAGATCATCTTGGAAACATATTTGCCCCAAGGGAAAGGGTAGTTATATAAAGTGTGTTATGAAATCATTAGGAAAATCTAATAATGCAAATACTCGGGACAGTAGGGGAGTGAGGGGGAATAGTGCTGAGTTATCACTAACTTTTTCTTTGCATCCTTGTAGCTTTTTATTATTTACAAATTCTCTACAAGAGCCATGTATTACTTTTTCAGTTAACAGAGCAATTTTAAAACACAAAAATTTCTGTAGTAGAAATGTGCTATAAATTTGAGCAAGATGCCTGATAACTATTATGGGTGACAACACTCATAAATTTTTTCCAGATGAAGTCTTTTATTCAGAAACAAATTCAGTCAATAAAACAGGCCACGATCTCTATAAAACATACTACTTACTGTTGAATAATATATTTTGCAGTTAGAAAATGGGGACAGTATGCAGCCTTTAAATATGAACTGTACCCACCTTTAGGTTTGAGATTTATGCTCTTTGCCATTTACATCCTGACCAAATAATCCCCCAGGAAGTAAAAGAGATGATGCTTAATTTAGCAAATGCCTCACAGGGACGTGAGAACAATTTTCTGAAAACAAATACTTTATTCAAGGGGTACAATCTTCTCCCTCTAGACACTCTTGCCAGCCCTCTCTTCTGTCTGCCTCTTGCCCTTCTTTACTTTCCTGACTTCTCATTCTTCTCTCTAGCTCCAAGGTAGTATCTTGGGGGCTCAAATTGCATCTTGCTCATTTGTGTCTCTGCTTTGTTTCGTTGGATGCCGGAATCACAGGTGCTTAGCAAAGACTTCTCCAATCAAAGTAGGCAAAAATAAATTAATTTTGGCCAGGTCTCTAAAAAAATGTTGTGCTATTGTATGAAAAAAGGAGGTTGTACCAATATTAAAAATTATGTGGTTGGGCCGGGATTTAGCTCACTGGCTCTGCGCCTGCCTTGAAAGCACAAGGTACTGAGTTCAATGCCTGTTACTGGAAAAAGAAAAAAAAAAAAAGAAGCGGAGCAAAGATGCAACAATGCAAACCATGTAGGTAGGGTGCAGGGCACAGGCATCTGCAGGTGAATGTACCTAGGGCCACTCTGGTCTCTGTAAATGGCGATTTTTCCAGGGCATGGTAAATCTTGTCAGGTCTATCCATTTCTCTATCCCAAGATTATGAGTAATACAGGAATTTTAGATCTATGGATTTGAAATGGAAATGGGATTTACTTAAAATTGAGGTAAAGGTCAGATGAACTTGCCAAATGACGACTGAAACAGTAATTAATAGTTCAACAGGTCATGAAATATTTCTGTAAACAAGCATCTGGCATACAAGTATGTTCTTTAAAGACAATGAAAATAAAATTGGCTTTTTTGTGGAAGTTGTTGTAGCAGTACTGTTGAACCTAGAGCCTGCTGCATGATAGGCAAGTGCTCTACTGCTATGCTACACCTGCAGTCCCAAACTGGCTTCTTTTGTTCCAATATTTCTTCTGTTAGATTTTAGGGTTGGTCATAATAATGTCTCACCCAAGCTCAAACCTTCCTTTTGATATCTTACAGGTTTTTCATACAAATCTCAAATCTGCAAGTGTAAGGCAGCGCCAGCTTGGGCCATAACAATGTACTCCTTTCTCTGCCATGTTATATCCTATAGTTTTACTCAATTACATCTTCAAAATTTCCAGACATGCACCTAATTAGAAGGGACAATAATAACTCTATGGCTTTAGTTACTCTCTCTTTCCTCATGTTTTTAGGGACATATCTGAGTGTTGTTTCATAATACTGAGATAATTTTTGGATATATGCTCCCTGATGGGGATTTAATGAGAAGCTCTGAATGATTCTATTTATTTTTTACTGACAAAATTGTTGGTGCCTTCTTTCATTTGCTAATTTTCCCATGGGGTAACTACTAATAAATAGGGGAGTAGTTCAACAAAAGCATTTTATTGAGGGCAAGGGTCACTTCAATCATGTTAGCCTCAAGTTAGGGCCCCACAAAATATAACCTTGGGAACACCAAGAGCTAAAAGCACAGAGAGGAATTACAATATCCTTTAACAAACCTAAAGGACCACCAGTAATTGCTATTTCTATTAATGATTTGTTTTTTGCCTCTGAAGGCAGAGACTAAAAGATATCTGCTTCATTATAAGAATATTATTAACAGAAATATTTTAGAGTTTCTTGTGATTGATGAACTTCCAACAGAACTAAATGATTGTATAGTATTTATTGCCCATTTTAGAGGAAACTATTTATAATTCCTCTTAGCAGGTGACAGTTTTTGAAGTAGTTTCTTACTCAAGCCACCAAGACATCTGGTATCTAAAGCTCTTTCCAAAGCTTATGATTCTCAAAGGAACGCTCATGGCTATTCAGACTGATTGTGAAAAATCACAATCCCCCAACTTGTAATAACAGTAAGTTCATGAGGAGGGAGAATGTGAAAGCATCCATGAACCATAAAATTCAGTTTGGTATTTTATCATGCATTGTACCTTTAGGGGATCATTAGAACTCTATTCACAAAGGTATCGACATAAAGAATATTCTACCTCTATAAATCCTGGCCAAGGCAAGATCATGTAAACTTTAACAAATCATCAGAAAGAAAAATTCTTTGATGACACAGGGCCAAAATTTAATCTTGACAGAGTCTACTCTCACCTCCACCCTTTGAGGTTGCCAGGATGTGGTCCTGTGACTCATTAAGTTCTCCTGAGCCTCCTTATAAATCCCTACCCCCCAAGCCACTTCCTGCCATCTTAATTGTCTTTTTATCACCATTATCCTCTCCTACTAT